CACATACCCCAGCGCACAATCTAGCAGTGTGACCCAAGCACAAAAGTAAACAGCATGACTGGCTGATCTAGGAGGCACTGAGTCAGGTCAGTCAACGACCAATTACTGCACAGTCAGCAGATTACACACCTCTTATAATAATATTCTCTCTCTCTCTCTGTGAGTATGTGTGCGAGTGTCATGTGTGTGGGTCTGTGTGTGTTTTTATGCCTGTGTAAGAGTGTGTACGTTTGTGTGTATGTGTGTGTGTGTGTGTGTGTGTTTGTTTCTCTTTGTGGCTGTGTAGGTGTGTATGTAAGAGTGTGTATATTTGTGTGTGTGTGGTGGGGGCTGGTGGTGGCGGGAGAAAGTGGACAAGGGTATATTATCATTATGCCCATGCCTGCCAGCACACACACACACACACACACACACAAACACAGACACACCCCCAACAATAACCCAGTAAGCCTATAATAAATACAACGAAATGCACTGGTCTAGGTCTGCCCTGGGTATGCCCCTCATAGTGTCTGCCAGGGTTCTGCGGGTCATTTATTCGTCTGTCTGTGTTTGAGCGCGCGTTGAGCGTGCGTGTGTGTGTGTGTGTGTGTGTGTGTGTGTGTGTGTGTGTGTGTGTGTGTGCGTGTGTGTGTGTGTGTGATACTGATTGATTTTTTCAAAAAGATTCCTACCTCTCAAACTTTTCTTGGTTGCTTCATCGGACGATGTGACGGGCTTGGAGTCGTGTCTGGCTGTCGGGGGCGGCGTGTTAAGTCCGGCCTGAGTATTTGGCTTAGAGGCGCTGAAGGCACTTCCAGGGACACGGTAACGGTACGGGGACGAAGACGGGGAGGCGCCGTTCGAATCCACGGCTGGGGACGTTTTGGAGTAGGCTCCAGTACCGCCTGTTCTGGGCGGGGTAACCTCATCTCCAGGTCGCCCTCCCGAGGCTCGGCTCCCTCGCGGTTTAGGCTGCCATCTTCCTGAAGATCTTGCGGTGTTGGAGGTCGAGTCGGAGTCTTGTGAGTAGGTCATTGACCTCGGTGTGACTTCATCAAAGGAGCCCGACGTTCTTCGTGCGGAATCTCGGGAGAGATCGAGGTCCCCTCCTCTCACGCTGCTGCCTCTTGTGGACGCGTTGCTTCGGTCGAGATCATCTCCGCGTCTCGCTCGGTTTCGGTCTGGAGGCAAAAAGTCACCACTTGGGTCACCTCTACGATCCGAGAGTCGTCGGTTGAACTCGAGAGTTGGATCGCGGTCGTCGTAGTCGGGACGACCTCTGTGGTCTCGCGGAGCAGAAGACCTGGTTGGTTCTCGTCTGTCGAAATTGCTTGGGAGCTGGACGTCTCTGTCGAAACTTGTGTCTCTGGATCCGCCTCGTCTGTCGTTATCCCTAGACACGCTGCGATCGAGGTCACGTGGTGCTGGTCTGGGTTCTTGATCCCTGCTTCCGAATCGACCGCTACTTTTGTCGAGATCTCTAGAAGCGCTTCTTTCAAGTACACGGTCGAGATCGCGACTGAAGCTTCTGTCTGATTCGACAGAGCTTTTCCTTTCAACTGGTTTCGAGAAATCTCGACCAAGGTCTCTACTAGGGCGGTTGTAACTTGCACGAGATCCGTACGAATCTCGGGAGCGGTCGAACTCGCTATCCCTGTTCAGAGATCTGTTGCTGGCTTCATGGGGGTAAGCAGGCGACCGACTTCTGTCGTCGGACCTGTCTGAAGCGAAACTATCGTCGTGTCCGGACGAAGAGCGGGAAGATAGGAGGCGTCGAGGCTCATAGGAAATCTCGCCAACCTCAAATTTAGACTGCAGGTCCGACACCTTAGGTCGCTCCTCTCTAGGGGCCGTCTTAGCGGGAGGTCCTTTCTCTTGAGATTTGGCCGAGGATTCTGAGGGAGACGTCGGAGATTTACTCGTTTTCCAGCCTTTGGGTTTGGGAAACCATCTCTTCTTCTCTGGCTCCGGGGCTGGTTTTGGTGGTTCTATTTTAGCGGGTAATTTAGGCTCATCTTTAGCGGGTTTTCTTACAATAGGGGCTACGTCTTCGTAAGAATCGTCCAGATTGGTCTCTTGGACATGTTGGAAAGATTCTACTCTTGAAGCAGGAGGTTCTCTGTTGGCTACAGGCTGTTGTTGTTGACGAGCAATTTCCTCTGGTTTACTTTGTTGTGGTGGTGGTGGTCTGACAACAGGTGCCTCTTCTAATTTAACAGAGGGCGCTTTTTCTATTAACACCGATGGCTCTTGCTGGAAAAACCTATTCCCCCTGTTATTAGGCTCGTCAGGAGTAACTAAAATGGTTGGAGGTGAAGATGGTTTCTTTCCTGTAGGGGATACACCACCCCGTGAGACTGGAGATGCGGGGAATTTGTCGGCCGAATCGTAACTTGTGTTTGGACTTAGAGATCCGACAGGGGAAGCTGGTGATCTTTTGCCTTTGTCCTTATTGCTACCATCATCCGAAGATGAGCCCGAAGATGACCGTAATGACTTGAAGAAGCTGAACCCTCGCGGCTTGGGGACAGGGGCTGCTGGGCTTTTGCTTTCTGCTTCGGCCTTTTTCGGAGATGATTTCTGATCTTTGGACCTGGACATTGGTTTTGCTGTGTCTTGTTGAACGATAGGTTTGGTATTTTCTTTTTCTATAATTCTTGTGTCTTCACGGTACCTCTCTGTGGGCTTGGGGGCATCCCTGGACGTAAGAGTAGAGGGCCTTGCTGCTAAAACTGGGGCTTCTGAGACTTGAGCGAAGGGTGATTCCAAGGGCTCCTGTCTCTTCTGCTCCGGGGGTCGTATCACAGTCGGCGCCTGTGATAACGTTGTGGTGGGGGTCGACTCGGGCGGTCTAGTAGGAATCGGTTTGATAATCGTACGGTCCTCATCCGGTTCTGGGGTCTCTTGGATATCTGAATACCTTTTCTCTGGATTAGACTTTTTCAAAATGCTCTTAACGTGTGGTTCTGTGGGTGAGACGACAACTTTGGGCACGACTACGTCTTCGTAATCGTCCGGTTCTGGGCCACCGTTGACTCGAGTGGGACTCCAGGGCCCGGTTCTCTCAGTTGGGGACACTGGAGTCTTCGGTGTCGGGGAGGTTGGAGAAGCTGGAGAGGAACCGTTTTGAGGAGCGCCTGCCTCTGACGCCCTTTTCTCTTCTTTCTTCTTCTCAAACATGGCACGGATTTTATCGAAGGGCACTATCGGTATTGGCATAAGTGACTTGGACTTTTCTTTGGAGCGCATTTTATCGCTGGGGAGCTTGATAGACGGCGTAGTGGCACCGTCTCTATTGAGGCTAGGCTGGGAGGAGAAGGACGGGGTGGTGGGGGCAGAGGCTGGATAGCGGGGGGATCGTAAGTTGCGGGCAGAGGTCGGGGGCAAGACGCGAGTCTTGATAACCACATTGGAGGAAGAGGACGGTGTGGTGCATGGGGAGGAGATGAGACTTGGGGAGAACTGGAAAGAGGACATCGTGGATGAAGAGCCGTACTTGAGAAGGCAACTGCCACTTTTGGACAGACTTGACTGCTTGTACCAGTTCGGGACGTTCAGTTTCTGCAGGGACTTGCTGATACGGAGCTCGTGGGCAGACGGGACACGAGAAAGATTCTCGCCCGACGGAGACGTTGAAAAATTGACTTCATCGTCCAAATTTGTCTCCAGTGTGCACAAGCTTTTCGATTTCTTGTACTGTCGGTGGCCAGCAAACCGTCCTTTTCCGGAACCTCGTCCGCCGGCCCCACCCCCTGTCATGGAGGTCGTGTCGAAGACGTCATGGCCGGCACCACTGATGGTGGTGTAGTCGGAAGCGTGACGTAACTCACTCATGCTGGCTGGGCGATCTAACACTCGGCTGCGGTCATCCTGAAAGGCAAACGTTAAATCAAACATATCGCTATCAGTCTCTGGGAAAAAGTGGCTCTCGCCTATGTCTCTAGCATCTGCATCTGTCTCTGAACCGAAGCGCTGCAAATGTTTGTACAAATCCGCATGCAAATTGTCAATAGACAGGGTCTTATCGAGAATTTCTCGCTTTCCCTTCTCGGACAAAATACAGTCATCATGCAAACAGTTAACATGGGAGCGGTCATGCAAAGAACTTTCAGATCGCCGGGAGAGCTTTGCCATGGCTTGTAGCTTCTGAAGCTGTTCCTGACTTCTGTAGTCGGAATGCTTGGTCAGAGGACGCTGTGTGTACATGCGCTCCTTATTAGGCCCAGCGGTAGAGGAGGCCGAGAGCAAAGATTCCTTATGCGCTGCAAACTCACCGGCGTAGGAATCTGTGTCGAGATTCTGTTCACTCAGGAATTTGTTCCTGGAATACAGGATTCTGGATCGGCTAGGCGTAATCATGGAGTCCGGAAGAAGGAAAGGCGCAGCTTTAGGTGAAGGAGGAGTGCCTGGGTCTTGTGTAAGGACAGACTTGTAAGGTTTGTATTTCTTCTTCAAGTCTTTCATTGACCGAGGCTTCGCCGGGGCAGGTTTGATGAACTGGGAATGAGCCCAAGCCGAGCCGCCTGGGGTAAATGATTTGGGAGTTGTTGGAGCCGATTTTGTCACGTACGCTCTAGCAGTGGTTGACGCGCTCGTGGATGATGACTCCTTATCAGACGACACAGTAGGAGACAAAGGTGATGCCGAATTCACAGGGAAAACTTCGTCTAAACTGTCCATAGAATTGGAAGTTGCCTTTGGTTGAGCGCCAGTCGGGGAGATCGACTCCTGAACTGATTGGCGAACGTTAAAGGGGTTCTCTTTGTCTCCTTCTCTGAACCCGTCGGACACTCTTCGAACAGGATCCCCACCAACGTATGCATCTTTTTCTTCCTCTTCTTCGTCTTCTTCATCGTCATCATCATCCTCATCCTCATCATCCTCTTCCTCATAAGAGCCATCGTCCTCATCGTCCTCCTCTTCACTTTCCTCCTCGTTATCCCCATCTTCTCCACTACGAACCTCTTCTGCTTCCTTTCTTCTTCTCCCCACTTCAAGCGCTTCATCTGTCCCTTTCGCGTCTTTCTGTTCATATAAGGCACTTTTGTCAAAAACAGGACGACCTACAGCTGCCTGATCGTTCTTCGGCTGCACTTTGCTAACACTAGGAGCCATGGACAGAACCTCTGGTCTATCTCCAACAGATACAAAAATAGGACCGGATGATCTAGGTTCCAACGTTTTGGTGACATCAGGAGGCCCGGTAATTGTAGTTTCACTATCATCCGCAAAAGGAATGTCTTCAATGCCGCCATGCCGCTTGGTGGGGGGAGAAAACTTCTCTTCCACGAACGCTGAACCAGGAATGACTCTCGACCACTTCACAGGAGAAGGTGGACTCTTCTCAAACTGACCACTTTCGGTGTCTGGCACTTTGCGAGTAACCGATTCCGAAGATGTGGTTTGCTCCGATGAAGGATTTGGTTGTTTGGATACCAACTTTACTGAAGCGAGGTTGGGACCTGAGAACTGTCCTGCTTTGGGGTCAAATTTGGGAGGAGTTGGGCGAGACGGTGAAGGAGAAGCCAGAACCGGTTTCTTTGGCAACTCCGGTTTATTTGACAACTCTGGTTTCACTCGCAACTCCGGTTTTGCCGGCAATTGCGGTTTTGATGCCAAATCCGGTTTTGTTGACAACCTCGGTTTTGCTGGCAATTCTGGTTTTGAAGCCAAATCCGGTTTTGTCGCCAATTCCGGCTTTGCTGCGGCAGATTTCGATTCAGCCCCGAGAAGTGGTTTAGCAGGAACTGGGCGACTTACAAGCGGGCTTTTCGGTACCTCCACTGGCTTTGAAACCTGCCTCGGTGGTGGTGCTATCGTGGGGCTCTGTGTAATCTCCACTGGTTGAAGTCGAACGGGACTGGAAACGGATGAAGGGGGCGATGACAGAACCGGGCTTTCATCCATCCCAACGATCGTTCGAGTCTTGTGGTCTGTGCTAGAGAAAGACTGCTTCATGTCCACTATCAGTGGAAGGCTGGATGGTCCGGGGCGTGACGCTGGGGGGTTGGCCACAACGGAGGCCTCCTCGGGCATTTTCGCAATTTGTCTGCTAGCTGATTCTGGTTTAGAAGGAGCGGAAATAACAGGGCTCTTTTGAAGTTCTGGTCTAGAGGGTGGAGAAATGACGGGGCTCTCCTCCATCTTGGCACTTTTAGAAGCACCAGGGCCAGGCACTGACGCCGTACTGCTTGCAAGAGTGCTTGGTTTTAAGTTGAGGCTCCTGTGAGGAGAACTGAAGACAGCGGGTGGACTTGTGAGCACAGGACTCTGCTGTAAATCCACAACAGTCGGTGTGACCGGGGCAGCGGTCGATGAACCGGAACTGCTCGACCTGGGAGCGTCCCGCACGGTGGGAGACGTTTCCATGACAACGTCTAAACGTGGTTCGGCGGACACGGTGTTGAGTCGAGGCGATGAAAACATCTTGGTCGGCGACTCTGGGGCTGAGAGCCTTCCCTCTCGGGGTGACTCCGTGAGACCCTCGGGGGTCCGACTCAGACTGAGGCCTTCTTTGCTCCTACTCCGACTCAAGCCAGGCTCGGAGTCGTACCTCTCTAGACCAAAACTCGATGTCTCCTCGAACGACCGGTTCAGAACATTACTCGAGTCGTCGTATAAGGAGTGAGACGAAGACCTCCTCATTGCGGCTCGGAATCCAAGCAGCTCCTCTTCGTCTGTAGCCGTTGAAGTTCTGTGAAGCTTTGGCTTTTTCGAAAGATGGTCTCCGTCACCCTCTTCTTCGTCGCCTTCACCTTTACGTTCTGATTCTTTATATTCTATCTCCTCGCTTTCTTCCCTTGTCATCTCGTCAACATTTCTTTTGTGGGCTTCATAAGACGGGGAGGAGTGTGGGGGAGCACCTTCAGAAACTTGACCATCTTTTGGGAAGACAAATACGTCTGGCATGGCGTAAGGAGATGCCAGGTTGCCACTGAGTATTCCAGTAGCCAGTGGAGTCGGCACACTCGTTACACCTTTTGGGGGGCTCAGTGTGTCAGGAGAGTCGTCACGCTCAGAGATATGCCTGACAAAATCTTGGTAAGCCTCTTCACCTGCCGGCTCGCTGCTCGCGGGTATCCCACTGAGGAAACTGTCGAAGTCGTCCACGACGGGCGGGCCACGAGTGTCGGAATCTGAAGACTCGTATTTGTACAGGTTTTGCAGAGGACGAGACTGGGATGTTGTTGTCCTGAGCTCAACCTCTGGTTCTTTTGTGAGAACACTGTCCATAGGTTCGACCTCAAGTTTTCTCTCTCCCCCGGTGGGAAGTAGAGCGAAGCTCTCTACGCTGATGGGACCTCTAGGTCTAGGCAGAACCTCATCTGGTTTCAGAGTTTGTTCTGAGTAAGGCATTTGTGCGTATGCGACTGTGGGTGACCTTATTTCTTCGTACTCGTCGGGAACATACTGGTCTCCTGGTCCACGAGGTCTGAGTCTAGCTGTGGCAGACAACCGTTGGTTTGGCGAGGGCACCACTTGTTGAGGAAGTTGCATACTCTTGAAATCAACCCTCCCAGTGTGTGGCGGCAAGCTTTCCTTGTGTATCTCAGCATAAGGTTGGCTTCTCCGGTTCTCAACATAATCCTGATCCATTGGAATGCCTGTATTACCATCCTCTGCATCTTCTCCATCATCTTCTTCCTCGTCGTCATCAGTGTCCTCCTCATCATCACCCATTTTATCGTTCTTTCCATACAAAGCGAGGTGACCTGGCTCTCCCCTGTCATCAAATTGGTGTGCACCTCTTTCTTCCTCTTCCTCTTCCTCCTCATCCTCATCATCAGCCATCCCATCATCGCCGTGCTCTTCCACAAAAACTCGTTCCTTTTCAATATATCTCACAATGGGAAAACCAGAGTCAGTGGTATACTCATTCACTTTAAACTCGTCCAGATTCAGCTGGAAACCCATTTTTGATCTTACATCCAAATCCATCCTGTCAAGCGCATTCCTCTCTGCTCTCGCACCGCTCGTAACGTCTTGGTTACCCAAAAATCCCAGCACGTCGCGACCCTCCACTTCGATCATGCTGGTCTTACACGTGCTCGTCGCTTCGTTATCATAATCCTCACCCATCTCATCCTCATCTTCTTCTCTGGGCACGAGTTCAGAGCCGCCCCCTCGCTCACCCGGCCTCCGATCTAGTAAAGCTTTTACATTCTCCAAAGTCCTCAAAATAGTCCTCTCTGGAGTAAGAGGCACGACAAATGTCTCTGTAATGCTTTCCTCCCACTCCTCCGAATCCGAATCCTCCTGGGGTTCATTACTCCTCCCCGTTTGGTCATTCCCTCCTCCATCTCCCCCTCCTCCTCCCTCCGAGGCCCCATAATACTCACGTTCCATCACGATATCCTTCTTGCTATCAGTATTATCCTCGTTAAAGTCAGAATACACAAAGTCAAAGTTGTCAGGGTTTCTCACAACACCGCTATCCGATAAAGTTCTCACATATGTGTCCGAGAATTTAGTGTCACCACTACTGTCAAAAGCTTCTTCCTCCAGTTCCCTACTGTTATTTGGCTTGAAATAGCCCTCAGAACGCTCAACATCCTGCGCCGCACTTCCGCGATAGTCTTCTTCGTAACCCGACCGCCCGACCTCGGAATGCGCCGACTGTTTGTTTATATCACGTGGTCTGGGGCTAGTACTACCTACAACAGTTGAGATGTCGGTTGAACTTTCGGGGTCACCGCGCCTGTTATCTGCGACTGTCACCGAAAGAATGTCTTCATCACTCTCGTACTGAATCTGAATGTTTTGTTTATCAACAGGAGAACCACTGCACAGACTTCCTGAATCTAACGCCGCGTACGATTTGTACGCTTTCAGGTCGTAGTTAGAATTATCCACATAGTCAAAGTTGTCGTCATTATCATCCTTGTTGTGACCGCGCTCTGAATCGTGGCCTCCCCTCTCCTCTCCGAACGCGTTGCCCCCTCCTTCACTCACAATACGATCACGATAGAACGCCTCCTCTTCTGTTTTCGGAACTTTCGCAGTGTAAGCGTATCCATCACTCACAGGCCTTTTTCCTTTCACGGGACTGGGCCGGAGCGAGACGGCCGGACTGTACCCTGCCTGACCTCTGACCGGACTCGCTGTCTCCCCACCGGTACCTGTCGAACTGTCTCCTGAGGAGCGGCGAGTTATGACTGTTTGAACAGACTCGTCACTCTCCGAGTTACTCTCGTCCACTTCAACTCTGGTCGAAAATGCCTTCGCGAAGCTGTCTGCTCGAACGAGAGGCGCAGGTTTGACGCCGAAAGAATAACCACCACCTGCGACCACACCAAAACCACTGCTGTCGTCACCACTTGTGCTGCTGTTGCTGCTGCGCTCTGCTGATTCTTGTTCGTCGCACTCACTGCTACTGAATCCACCCGTGTCGCCGGCGCGGCGAGTTATTTCAGATATGCCACCCTGCACGTCGTGTGTAGTTGCATGTTTTTCTTCTTCGCTGACACTTCTTTCACTCAGCGGAGGGGAACCGTCGACACTACTGCCGAACTGCCGCACGTATTCAAAGTACTCCTCGTCCGAATCAAACCGATCTCGCTTTAACACGGGAACTTTATCGCCGACCTGATCATTGTCATCACTGGTTTTATGGTCGCGTTTTTGAAGGTTCAAAAGTTCACCGCTGTTACTACAGCTGGCACGACTGAGTGCGGCGGAAGGCGACGACACACCAGGTAGAACACAGTCAACACGGCTTGAGCCTACTTGTGAAAGTAGCCTCACAGGTTCGCAACTAACCAGGTCGTTGTTCTCTTCTTCCTCGTCACTACAACGGTCTCCTCTCTCGTGTGTTTCGTCGTAATCCGGTTTAGCAACTCCAACCCGTGGGTCGTTCACGTCTGCTAATCTTACGGTCGACACTCCGGTATCTAGGTCAGTGAAGATTTGCGTAGGCAGATGGTGGTGGTGTTGGTGGCGGTTTATCGTCAAACCCTGAGCTTGCAAAGGCACACGCGGAGATGGCACTACGAGCGGACGGCTGTTCAAAACAGACGAGAACACACCCGAATTCGAACGGGAGGTGGCGCCGCCGTCAGCTGAAGTGTTTTTCTCTTCGTCACTCGCTGAAGTTTTAAAGTGAGTCTCCAGAGTTACCCCCCTCTTTCGTTCCTCGTACTCCAAGTCGTATTCTATTTCCCGCCCTTGGTCTTTGCTGCCTAAATGGGAATAAAATGCGGCCTCGCTTCGACTGTTGTTACTGTTGGTGCTTTCACCTTCACTGGACGTGGTCATATCATCCGAATCCTCTTCCATTATCGGCTCCAGAACGGAGCAGCAGAAGAGTTCTTCGTCAGAGTCCAGTTCCCTAGGTTGGACATCATCGTCATCGAAATCGTCGAAGCGGTATTCGTCGTCGTCATCGGAGGAGGAACGAGGTCGAAAGGACGAGTAGTGTGAGGGACGAAAATCGTCCTCGTCAACTGTTTCCTCTTCTTCAGAATGTTGAGCCGAGTAATCGACTACTCGTATCTGATCATCGATGTGTCGAAGAGGAAACGGTTGGTAGTTCTCGTCGTCTAGGAGGTATCGATACTCCCTGCTGTTGCTGTTGCTGTTGCTGTTCCTGTCGCTGTTGTTGTCCCCACAGCCGCTGCTGCTGTCCGTGGAGGCAGACAGATTCAAAAACAAGTCACTGTTCCCTTCCACTGCAGGAATGTCCTCTCCGCTGGAGTTCACTGCTTCGTTAGATATATTGACACCGTCCGTCCCAGACTGCCCTCCGCTCTCTGTTGTTGTTGCTGCATGCGGGGACAGGCCGTGGGGGGTACCAAACTCGCTACTGCTGCAACGAGTTGCGTCAACACTATCCGTCCCAGAAACGATTTGGTCTCCGAATGAATCAGAAATGGACGAAGAGTGGTGGGCGGGGCGGTGATTCAATCGATCTTCCTCCCCTACTTCCCCTTCTACAACCGCTCGTTCTGTCGCGTGTTGTATTGTTGTAAGTTTAGAGCCTGCCCCTACCTTGGAAACACCTGGCGAGCCTGTGGCTGTGGTGTCCCCGTCTTTTTCGATCGATGAACAGCCACTCCCCACCACGGCGGCAGCCTCACTCACCGCGAAAGCATCGTCAGAGGTAGCATCAGTCACAGCTGTTGTACTAGCAGCCTCGATATCGCGGTACGTCGCACGAGAAATCCCACCACCCGACGATGAGTAGCGGGGAATTCCCGGGAAATCCCACACGGAGCTATTTTTAGCAGAGCTCGGCGGTCGAGGTCGATCAGAATCGAGGCTGATTTCTAACTGACCTTCATTGTTGTTTATGTCGTCCATAATGTTGTTGTTGTCGTCATCATCATCATTATCGTCGTCTCCGTCCAGAGGAAGATCCACGGGCACTCTGATGAGCGGTTTGAGGGTGGTCATGCGGTACCCAACACCGCCTGTTGCTATGCTCGTGCGAGAGGAGCTGTTTCCAAGGGAAGCAACGCGATGAGAGAAAATACCCGGTGAACTTTGGGTTAATTGCCCTTGATGGAAAGTCGAAGTGTGCTGTTGTGGGTTCCCATCCGCAGAAGCACCCCGAGAAGAAGGCGATGACAACGCCGAAAGTTGCGCCGACAAATTATGATACGCCGATAATGGCGATGATGAATGAGCGCCTAATCGTCTCCGTCTCTCCTCACTCTCACTCCCAGTCCTGCTGTCTTCGATTTGATCTTTGTCGAGAAGTCTCCAGGAAAACATGATGGTGATGATGGTGGCAATGGCCGCTGTGAGAAATCTTTCGAAAGCCCCATCCCCCGGCGGCGCTGGTGCCGGACTGCCTTTGGGCAACCAGCGGTCCATCGTGCTATCTGCCCCTTCCGAACTTTGGGCTGTTCCCGAGAAATGAGTTACGTTATCAGTTCAAGCACGAAACCACATGCTTGAAATAAGAGGGTTTGTGAAAGCGTATGTGTGTGTGCGTGCGTGTGTGTGTGTGCGCGCGTGTGTGTGTGTGTGTGTGTGTGTGTGTGTGTGTGTGTGTGTGTGTGTGTTTGTCCGTGTGGGTGTGTTTCTATCGCCAAGGTGCGTTGCGTGAGTTTGTGTAACTGCCTACAGAAGGCGTATGTATGTTTGTCTGTGTGTCTGTGTGGATGTCTGTCTGTCTATGTGTATGTATGTCTGTGTGTATGTGTGTGTTTGCTTGTGTGTGTATGTATGTAAAGGGAACGTGACCAGCCTTGAAGTACACACACCGACAACGCAATAGCTGAGATAAACCTCAAGATAGTAACACACAGGGGCTGCCAAAGTGCGACGCAAGAAGTAGAGATTATATTTACACTTCTCTCTCTGGGCAAACTGACTTTATCTGAGAAGCCGCACTTGACAGAATCGTGCACCGCCCTCGAACTACGACAAGATATCGAAAGAAAGGAAGGTCATGTCATACGCATTTCTGGACCCATCGACTGAAAAGAACGTCACCGCATCTTGATCTAAATACGCCGAGTCAGTCTTTCGCGTGTAGTCATGAAATGCAAATATGCACAGGTATCGGCATCATCCAGCTTAAGATAAAGCACTATTTCCCCATGCGTTCCGGTACAAAAATGTCAGTTTGGATGCCCACAGCACGTCCTTGAATTCAGTGAATCGAGCCAAAAGTAGCTGTACGTTTATATTTGGAATGCAACGTTTTAATTTGGAATGCAACGTTTTAATTTGGAATGCAACGTTATCATTTGGAATGCATAGGCTCCTTATACCATGCTGTTTACTCCTCGGTATCTCATACTCCCCTGTCTGTTTGTGAAGTACACAACCAAAAGAAAATGACCTTTGCCATCGTACCTCAGCTCACATTTTCACACCTATTAGACGACAATGTCATGATGATCAAAACAAGGCTTGGGACAGTTCCTGCGAGTCAAATGCTGGTCTGAAGACTGACATAATGTCGCGTGTTTTTGTTTTTCACGCTCGGATTTTTCCGGGTTATTTTTCCATCTTCTTCTGCAGATGCAGCCAAATGAGCTTTATTCTCACAGGACTTACAGAGCAGGTGGCTCATCCAGCTTCTACATTTATAGATACACTGTTTTCAGTTTTCTCTACATAAGAGAGCACCCACGTCTGAGAGGTTGATACAAGCTTGGCGAGTGATTTGGTGATGTTTTTCTATCGATGAACACGTCACACTCTACGAAAGTTGAAAAATTGGGCGAAAAGGAAAAATATTTAAGTCTTCAGTACAGTTGTATGTATGTAGGTAACAGTTCAGCTGATGAAGTGAGTCTTCTTAGTACATCAACACTTCATTTTGTTGTGTCGTCCGCTGCAAAGAATGGTCCAAGGGAAGTAATCCAGGAATATCCCAACAGGACAGATTGATCGAAAAGAATTACGTGGAAGTGGGGTTTGCCCGGTGACGGTTCGCTTAGGAACTCTCCATTGATTTGTTAGTCCTTGGGGTTAGTTCGAAACTGACGAACACAAAATCAATGTCATCCTCTGGATAAGTCACGATCTAGGAAAGAGAGGGATGCAAAATATAAGTTGACTAACACATCTACCTTACAGTGAGCGTCATAAGATTTTCCCAAATTTCTGTTTTTCGTTTTTTTAAAAATTTTTAACTATTAAAAGAATTGGCTCTCCGTCTTTTTACAACATTAATTTTCCTATCACAATTCCTCATTCCGATGCATCAAAGTAGGTGGTTGGCAGGCCCTCAAGTTTAAAACTAAACAGGAAATAATACTATCATGTTAACATAAACCCAACGTTCTTTTTTTTTCTCCGTAGTCTCATGTTGTTTGGACAGAAACATCGATGGGTTATAATAATACACTTCGGATTATCGCAACTTTCTGACAACACACAGGAGCAAGCAAGCAAGCGCACACACACACACACACACACACACACACACACACACACAAACTTACTCACTCTAAAACACACACGCGCATGCACGCACAAACATACACACAAACACACACAAACACACACAAACACACACATACAAACACACACATACACACACACATATACACACACTCACACACACATACACACACACGTACGCACGCACGCAAACGCACATACATACACACACGCACACAGGCACAGGCACAGGCACACAGAGAGAGAGAGAGAGAGAGAGAGAGAGAGAGAGAGAGAGAGAAGCACACACATACTTGCGCGCGCGAATGCTCATAATATTCTCATAATATTATACAAGGCCGGCGTGAGCTCTCACGTAAAAAAAAAACCCAGACAATTTCTCTCTCTCCCTCTCTCTCTCTCTCTCTCTCTTCTATAGTCTGCTGTGACGATTATGTACTTAAAACTACAAGACACGGAATGTTGTTTCGTCTCCGCTTCCAAGTTGGCACTACTGAAAAATAT